TTTTTTTTTTTTTTTTTTTTTTGAGACGGAGTTTTGCTCTTGTTACCCAGGCTGGAGTGCAATGGCGCGATCTCGGCTCACCGCAACCTCCGCCTCCTGGGTTCAGGCAATTCTCCTGCCTCAGCCTCCCGAGTAGCTGGGATTACAGGCACGCGCCACCATGCCCAGCTAATTTTTTTTTTTGCATTTTTAGTAGAGACGGAGTTTCACCGTGTTGACCAGGATGGTCTCGATCTCTTGACCTCGTGATCCACCCGCCTCGGCCTCCCAAAGTGCTGGGATTACAGGCTTGAGCCACCGCGCCCGGCCGATTTTTTGTATTTTTAGTAGAGACGGGGTTTCACCATGTTGACCAGGATGGTCTCGATCTGTTGACCTCGTGATCCACCCGCGTCGGCCTCCCAAAGTGCTGGGATTATAGGCGTGAGCCACCGTGCCTGGCTATATGCGTTTTTAAAAACCATGAGTTTAGGCTGGGTGTGGTGGCTCACGCCTGTAATCCCAGCACTTTGTGAGGCTGAGGCAGGAGAATCGCTGGAGCCCTGGAGTTCAAGACCAGCTTGAGCCACATAGCAAGACCCTGTCTCTACAGATAGAATAGTGGGGTGTGGTGGTGAATGCCTATAGTCCTAGCTGTTCAGGTGGCTGAGATGGGTGGATCACTTGAGTCCAGGAGGTCGGAGCTGCAGTGAGCTATGACTGTACCACTGCACTCCAGCCTTAGGTGACATCAAGACCCTATCTCAAAAAAAAAAAAAAAGTTGTGAACTTATTTTCCAATCGTTTGTTGCTTTAATATAAAAATGCATTGGGTTTTCATATGCTGGCCCTCTGTCCTACACCTTGTGAAATCCATTACTCTTGTGGTTTTTAAAAATAGATTTTTATGATTTTCTGTATAATATAATCATGCCATCTGTGATTAAAGATCATTCACTTCTTGTTTTCCAGTCTTTGTACTTGCTTTTTTTTTTTTTTTTTTTGAGACGGAGTCTCTCTCTGTTGCCCAGGCTGGAGTGCAACGGCTCCATCTCAGCTCACTGCAACTTCTGCCTCGGGTTCAAGCAATTCTGCCTCAGTCTCCCAAGTAGATGGGACTACAGGCGCCCGCCACCATGCCTGGTTAACTTTTGTATTTTTTTTTTTGAGACGGAGTTTCACTCATGTTACCCAGGCTGGAGTGCAATGGCGCGACCTCGGCTCACCGCAACCTCCGCCTCCTGGGTTCAGGCAATTCTCCTGCCTCAGCCTCCTGAGTAGCTGGTACTACAGGCACGCGCCACCATGCCCAGCTAATTTTTTTGTAGTTTTGGTAGAGACGGGGTTTCACCATGTTGACCAGGATGGTCTTGATCTCTTGACCTTGCGATCCACCTGCCTCGGCCTCCCAAAGTGCTGGGATTACAGGCTTGAGCCACCGTGCCCGGCCACAACTTTTGTATTTTTAGTACACATGGGATTTCACCATATTCGCCAGGCTGGTCTCAAACTCCTGACCTTGTGATCCACCTGTCTCAGCGTCCCAAAGTGCTGGGATCACAGGTGTGAGCCACCGTGCCTGACATGTGTCTTGCTTTTTTTTTTTTTTCGTTTTTCTTTTTTTTTTTTTGAGACAGAGTCTTGCTCTTGTCGCCAGGCTGGAGTGCAGTGTCATGATCTCAGCTCACTGCAACCTCTACCTCCTGGGTTCAATTGATTCTCCTGCCTCAGCCCCCTGAGTAATTGGCATTATAGGAGTCCACCACCATGCCTGGCTAATTTTTGTATTTTTAGTAGAGACAGGGTTTTGTGATGTTGGCCAGGCTGGTCTCGAACTCCTGACCTCATGATCCACCTGCCTCGGCCTTCCAGAGTTTTTTTTTTACTTTTCTTATTACACTGCCTGGAACCTCTGGTACAATGTTGAAGCTTAAGGGGAAAGGCATTTAATAGTTCACCACTGTGCTGATGTTAGCTTGGGGTTTTTCATATAGATGCCATTCATCAGATCAGGAAGTTCCCTCTTGTTCCTAGCTAGGTATTGGCACTTTCTTCTGACTCTGATGGGACTGCTTCTGACAGCATGTTGCTGGGTCCACTGTTGCTGTTGCTTTGAAAAGGACACCTCTTTTTTTTTTTTTTAATTTATTTATTTTACTTTAGGTGCATACTATATCTGGGATTTCTCCCCATGTTATCCCTCCCCACCCCCTGCTGTGTCTCCCCTACCGCCCTCACTCACCCCAGTGTGTGATGCTCCTCTCCCTGAGTCCATGTGTTCTCATTGTTCAACACCCACCTATGAGTGAGAACATATGGTGTTTGGCTTTCTGTTCTTGTGTCAGTTTGCTGAGAATGGTGGTTTCCAGATTCATCCAAGTCCCTACAGAGGACACGAACTCACCGTTTTTTATGGCTGCGTAGTATTCCATAGTGTATATGTACCACATTTTCTTTGTCCAGTCTATCGTTGATGGGCATTTGGGTTGGTTCCAGGTCTTTGCTTTTGTACACAGTGCTGCAGTGAACATACATGTGCATGTGTCTTTATAGTAGAACAATTTATAGTTCTTCGGCTATATACCCAGTAATGGGATTGCTGGGTCAAATGGAATTTCTATTTCTAGATCCTTGATCCCACACTGTCTTCCACAATGGTTGAACTAATTTACATTCCCACCAGCTGTGTAAGAGTGTTCCTATTTTTCCACATTCTCTCCAGCATCTGTTATCTCCAGATTTTTTAATGATCGCCAATTCTAACTGGTGTGAGATGGTATCTCAGTGTGGTTTTGATTTGCATTTCTCTAATGACCAGTGATGATGAGCATTTTTTCATATGTTTGTTGGCCTCATATATGTCTTCTTTTGAAGTGTCTGTTCATATCCTTCACCCACTTTTGAATGGGGTTGTTTTTTTCTTGTATATCTGTTTTAGCTCCTTGTAGATTCTGGATATTAGCCCTTTGTCAGATGGGTAGATTGCAAATATTTTTTCCTCTTCTGTTGGTTGCCGATTCGCTCTAATGATGGTTTCTTTTGCTGTACAGAAGCTCTGGAGTTTGATTAGATCCCATTTGTCTACCTTGGCCTTTATTGCCATTGCTTTTGGTGTTAGTCATGAAGTCCTTGCCTGTGCCTATGTCCTGGATGGTTTTGCCTACATTTTCTTCTAGTGTTTTTATGGTGTTGGGTTTTATGTTTAAATCTTTGATCCATCTGGAGTTAATTTTAGAGTAAGGTGTCAGGAAGGGGTCCAGTTTCTGCTTTCTGCACATTGCTAGCCAGTTTTCCCAACACCATTTATTAAACATGGAGTCCTTTCCCCATTGCTTGTTTTTGCCAGGTTTGTCAAAGATCAGATGGTTGTAGATGTGTGGTGTTTCTTCTGGGGTCTCTGTTCTGTTCCACTGGTCTATGTCTCTGTTTTGGTACCAGTACCATGCTATTTTGATTACCATAGCCTTGTAGTATAGTTTGAAGTCCAGCAGTGTGATGCCTCTGGCTTTGTTCTTTTTGCTTAGGATTGTCTTGGCTATGTGGGGTCTTTTGTGATTCCATATGAAGTTTAAAATGGTTTTTTCCAGTTCTGTGAAGAAGGTCATTGGTAGCTTGATGGGGATAGCATTGAATCTATAGATTACTTTGGGCAGTATGGCCATTTTCACAATACTGATTCTTCCGAACCATGAGCATGGAATGTTTCTCCATCTGTTTGAGTCCTCTCTTATTTCGTTGAGCAGTGGTTTGTAGTTCTCCTTAAAGAGATCCTTTACATCCTTTGTTAGTTTTATTCCTAGGTATTTTATTCTCTTTGTAGTAATTGTGAATGGCAGTTCACTCTTGATTTGGCTGTTTGTCTGTTATTGGTAAATAGGAATGCTTGTGATTTCTGCACATTGATTTTGTATCCTGAGACTTTGCTGAAGTTGTTTATCAGTTTGAGAAGATTTTGGGCTGAGACGATGGGGTCTTCTAGAAATACAGTCACGTCATCTGCAAATAGAGACAGTCTGATTTCCTCCTTTGCTAATTGAACACCCTTTATTTCTTTTTCTTGCCTGATTGCTCTGACTAGAACTTCCAGTACTATATTGAATAGGAGTGGTGAGAGAGGGCATCCTTGTCTAGTGCCTGATTTCAAAGGGAATGCTTCCAGCTTTTGCCCGTTCAGTATGATATGGGCTGTAGGTTTGTCATATATAGCTTTTATCATTTTATGATATGTTCTGTCAGTACCTAGTTTATTGAGAGTTTTTAGCATGAAGGGCTGTTGAATTATGTTGAAGACCTTCTCTGCATCTATTAAGATAATCATGTGGTTTTTGTCTTTGGTTCCGTTTGTGTGATGGATTACGTTTATAGACTTGCGTATGTTGACCCAGCCTTGCATCCCCGGGATGAAGCCTACTTGGTCGTGCTGGATAAGCTTCTTGATGTGTTGTTGGAATCTGTTTGCCAGTATTTTATTGAAGATTTTTGCGTCGATGTTCATCATGGATATTGGCCTGAAGTTTTCTTTTTTTTTTTTTTGGAGACGGAGTTTCGCTCGTTACCCAGGCTGGAGTGCAATGGCGCGATCTTGGCTCACCGCAGCCTCCGCCTCCTGGGTTCAGGCAATTCTCCTGCCTCAGCCTCCTGAGTAGCTGGGATTACAGGCATGCACCACCACGCCCAGCTAATGTTTTGTAGTTTTAGTAGAGACGGGGTTTCACCATGTTGACCAGGATGGTCTCGATCTCTTGACCTCGTGATCCACCCGCCTCGGCCTCCCGAAGTGCTGGGATTACAGGCTTGAGCCACCGCGCCCGGCATGAAGTTTTCTTTTTTAGTTGAGTCTCTGCTTGGTTTTGGTATCAGGATGATGTTGGTCTCATAAAATGAGTTGGGGAGGATTCCCTCCTTTTGTATTGTTTGCCGTTTCAGAAGGAATGGAAGCAGCTCCTCTTTGTACGTCTGGTAGAATTCGGCTGTGAACCCGTCTGGACCTGGACTTTTTTTTTTTGGTTGGTAGGCTATTGATTGCTGCCTCTACTTCAGCCCTTGTTATTGGTCTAGTCAGGGTTTCACCTTCCTCCCGGTTTAGTCTTGGTAGAGTACAGGTGTCTAGGAATTTATCTGTTTCTTCCAGGTTTACTGGTTTATGTGAGTAGAGCTGTTTGTAGTGATCTCTGATGGTAGTTTGTATTTCTGTGGGATCAGTGGGGATCTCCCCTTTATCGTTTTTTACCATATCTATTTGATTCTTCTCCCTTTTCTTTTTTATTAATTTGCCTAGTGGTCTATTTTGTTGATCTTTTCATAAAACCAGCTCTTGGATTTATTGATTTTTTTTGAAGGGTTTTTTTTGAACTGAAGGGTCTCTATCTCCTTCAGTTCTGCTCTGATCTTAGTTATTTTTTGTCTTCTGCTGGCTTTTGACTTTTTTTTTTATCTTGCTCCTCTAGCTCTTTCGACAATAGGGTGTCGATTTTAGATCTCTCTTCTCTTCTCTGGTGGGCATTTATTGCTGTAAATTTCCCTCTCGACACTGCTTTAAAGGTGAAGGACACCTCTTTCTTACTGAGGTCCTTCTCCTGGTGAACGCTGTACTGCTAATGTTCATGGATTAGGAAGATTAATTCTGGCTGGGCTCGGCAAGTCACGCCTGTAATCCCAGCGCATTGGGAGGCTGAGGTGGGTAGATCATTTGAGTTTGGGACCAGCCTGTGCAACATGACGAAACCCCATCTCTACCAAAAAATAAAAAAATTAGCCGAGAGTGGTGGTGTATGCCTGTAGTCCCAGTTACTTGGGAGGCTGAGACAGGAGAATTACAAGGACGGGCATGGTGGCTCACACCTATAATCCAAGCACTTTGGGAGGCTGAGGCAGGCAGATCACGAGATCAGGAGTGCAAGACCAGCCTGGCCAACACAGTGAAACCCCATGTCTACTAAAAATGCAAAAAATTAGCCAGGCATGGTGGCAGGTGCCTGTAATCTCAGCTACTTGGGAGGCTGAGGCAGGAGAATTGCTTGAAGCCAGGAGGTGGAGGTTGCAGTGAGTGGAAACTGCGCCACTGCACTCCAAACTGGGTGACAGAGTGAGACTCCATCTCACAAAAAAGAAAAAAAAAAAGACTGATTCTCAGAAATCTGCTCTGAGTTCACGTGATGTTAAAGTGATTATGTTTATTAATCAGCTCATGAATTTACATTAGCAAAATATTTCTTAATATATTTGCTTTGACAATTTTTTGTAATTCTATTGACAGTGTGTTTTTTTCTGAAATTTTGTTATTATAACAATAATGACATAATGCTAAAGGGAGATTTAGAAAACCACCCATAACCCAGCGTCTCATCTGTTGGAGGAGGGTGCTGAGAGCTGGAAGCGCGGCTCCATCCCTGCTCTCCAGCGTTGCAGGGACCCCTCTCAACCCTCGTCCTTGCAGGGAGAAGACTCCGTGGGAAGGCATTCTACAACGTGGGTGAGAAAGTGTACTGCCAGGAGGACTTCCTGGTGAGTCTGAGCTGTGCCCCGGCGGTGCCAAGGGTGGGAACGAGGGCAAGGACCCTCATTCTGACTTGCGTGGAAACGCGAGGCCAGGACACAGGTGCTGGCTGGGCTGCGAGTGCCCCTTTGTCACACAACGTCCCGGATCCTGTGTCCCCTCCCAGTACTCTGGGTTCCAGCAGACGGCCGACAAGTGCAGTGTGTGTGGACATCTCATCATGGACATGGTGAGCCCCTGCCCCAGCACCCTGGAGCCCCTGTGATATGGGTGGAGTCTGAGGGCCCCACCCTCTCCCCTGCTCCAGACCAGCCCCAGGGTTCAGAGCCCAGAGCCTCTCCTGGGGGTGGCGCTGAGCCTTACGCCTGTGCCTGCGCCGACCCCTCAGTGCACCCTGTCCTTCCGCAGATCCTGCAGGCCTTGGGCAAGTCCTATCACCCGGGCTGCTTCCGGTGCTCCGTGTGCAGCGAGTGTCTGGATGGGGTTCCCTTCACTGTGGACGTGGAGAACAACATCTACTGCGTGCGAGACTATCACACGTGAGCTGCTGGTGCTGTGGAGCAGGGGGCACTCAAGCTGGTCTTCCTGGCTCCCTTGGAAGCATTTTTCCCGCCGGCCTGACTGTCCTTGGTTCTTGGCCTTTTCCCTTCCGCCTCCCCTTATGCACCCGGGCTTGGGGCAGGCATGCATCTCTGCCTGCGCCCCCTTTCCTGGCGGTCCGGCCACCAGCTGTCTTTTGCCTGTTCTTTCCCAGCTGTGGTCTGCGTGCTCCTCTCCTGGCACAGAAGACCCTCCTGGCTGCAGTACCCACCATCTCTCCCCCTCCTCTTTTTCATTCCCTGCCAGGCCAGGCCTCTTCCGGCTGATCTGTTTCCTCCTATCATGGCTGCAGGTTTATTCCTGGGAACTCTGGTTCCGAGCAGGGCCTTCCGTGGGATTGGAGTCCCGGGCATAGGTCCCTGGTACTCAGGGTGCAGCCAGGTCTCGCAGTGGTCATAGCTAAGCTGTGTCCCAGACCTGGACATGAAGGAGAAGGGAACTCACAGGAAGCATGGGGGCGGGTGGCAGAGCAGCACCCACAACTATCCTGGAGGAGGAGATTGGGTGGAGGGGAAATGGGCAGTCAGATAAGAGGCCAGGGCTGGGCACAGTGGCTCATGCCTGTAATACCAGTACTTTGGGAGGTTGAGACAGGTGAATCACTTGAACCCAGGAGTTTGAGACCAGCCTGGGCAACATAGCAAGACTCCACTTCTATTAAGGAAAAAAAAAAAAGGGTGGGGGCCAGTACAAGAAGGCACAGTAGAAGTTGTTCCATATCTGCCCTGAGATGTGCACACAGGGAGACAGGGCCCGATGCTTGGGCCACGACAGGGGGGCTTCTGTGGGTGTACCTGTCCTCTGGTCACTCAGCTGATCACTTCTGGTTTCCTTTATTCCTCCAGGGTTTTTGCACCAAAATGCGCCTCCTGTGCCCGTCCTATCCTCCCTGCACAGGTAGGAGCCACCGACCCAGAGATGATCAGGTGCCTGGCCCAGCCCAGCCGCTGCCCTGTTCTATGTGGGTCTAGACTGGGTCTTGGGCCACAGTGGGAGGGATGAGCAGGTGCTCCTCCCGCAGATCCTTCAGGACCGAGGGATGGGTGTCGTGCGTGTGCACGTGGGGTACAGATGTCCCCTGGCACGAGGTCAAGGGAAGTGGTGGCCCCTGCTGCTTGGCTGCCCCACTGCCAGCCTCTACTCCATTCCCTGTTGACAGAAGGGCTTCTCCCTGGGTCTGCTCAGCTCTGCAGACTGAGGTGGGGTGGGCTGGGGGAGCAGAGGAGGGATGGACATGGTCTGTGTGGGAGCCCCCACCGTGGGTGCTGCAGCTGTGTTGGCCTGGGGTCTTCCCACAGTGCTGGCTGTGTCCCAGGCTGGTGTGCCTGCCGAAGCAGAACTGGCAGTGCCCTTTCAAGACTTCAAGGAAGTGAAAACAGGCCAGGCACAGGGGCCCATGCCTGTAATCCCAGCACTTTGGGAGGCCAAGGTGGGAGGATTGCTTGAAGCCAGGGGTTTGAGACCAGCCTGGGTCATCTCTACAAAAAAATTTTAAAAATTAGCCAGGTAGGCCGGGCGCGGTGGCTCAAGCCTGTAATCCCAGCACTTTGGGAGGCCGAGGCGGGTGGATCACAAGGTCAAGAGATCGAGACCATCCTGGTCAACAAGGTGAAACCCCGTCTCTACTAAAAATACAAAAAATCACCTGGGCACGGTGGTGCGTGCCTGTAATCCCAGCTACTCAGGAGGCTGAGGCAGGAGAATTGCCTGAACCCAGGAGACGGAGGTTGCGGTGAGCCGAGATCGCGCCATTGCACTCCAGCCTGGGTAACAAGAGCGAAACTCCATCATCTCAAAAAAAAAAAAAAAAAAAAAAAATTAGCCAGGTGTGGTGGTGCATGCATGTAGTCCCAGCCACTTGGGAGGCGAAGGCAGGAGGATCGTTTGAGCCCAGGAGTTTGAGGCCTCAGTAAGCTGTGATTGCGCCACTGGACTCCAGCATGGGCAACAGAGAGAGACCCTGTCTCTTTAAAAAAAAAAAAAAAAGGCCAGGCACGATGGCTCACACCTGCAACCTCAGCACTTTGGGAGGCCAAGGTGGGCAGATCACCAGAGGTTGGGAGTTCAAGACCAGCCTGACCAACATGGAGAAAGCCCGTCTCTACTAAAAATACAAAATTAGCCTGGCCTGGTGGTGCATGCTTGCAATCCCAGCTTCTCGGGAGGCCGAGGCAGGAGAATTGCTTGAACCCGAGAGGCGGAGGTTGCGGTGAGCCAAGATCGGGCCATTGCACTTCAGCCTGGTCAACAAGAACGAAACTGCATCTCAAAACAAAACAGAAACAATGAGGTGAAAATAATATCCACATCCATTGACACCCATGTGACACCCTTGTGGTCCTTTGTGTGTGCTGTGGGCTGTGGCTGTAGAGGACACTTCAGGCCCATGTGTGTCTGTGTGTGCACACCTGCTGGTACCTGTCCCACCCCAGTGAAGCAGCGTGGCAGTGCTTCTGGGTTGGGCATTTGCATCTGCCGGGACGGGAGCACGGTGTGTGGGAGTGTGCGCACACGGACTGCTTCCCCCCCCCCATCCTCGCATGCTCATTGTGTGTGAACTCCATCTCTTCCTCCAGGGCTGTGAAACAACCATCCGTGTGGTGTCCATGGACAGAGACTACCACGTGGCCTGTTACCACTGTGAGGTGAGTCGGTTCCCGGGAGGCTGGCAGCTGGGGCAGTCCTCTGACACGGCTCCCCTTTTCAAAATTTTAGTTTTGCCAGGCACAGTGGTTCATGCCTGTAGTCCCAGCTACTTGGGAGGCTGAGGCAGAAGAATTGCTTAAACCCAGGAGGCAGAGGTTGCAATCAGCTGAGATTGAGCCATTGCACTCCAGCCTGGGCAACAAAAGCTAAAGTCTGTCTCAAAAAAAAATAATAATTAGCCAGGCGTGGTGGCGTGTGGCTGTAGCCCCAGCACCTCTGGAAAAGGCAGAGGTTGCAGGAAGTCTAGATCATGCCACTGAACTCCAGCTTGAGCAACAAAAGCAAGACTCTGTCTCAGAAAAAAAAAAATTAGCTTTTATTTTTATTTTGAGACAGAGTCTTGTTTCTTCACCCAAGCTGGAGTTCAGTGGCGTGATCCTAGCTCACCGTAGCCTCTGCCTCCCCGGTTCATGTGGTCCTCTACCTCCACCTCCCCGGTTCAGGTGGTGCGCCTCTACCTCATCCTCCCCGGTTCAGGTGGTGCTCCTCTACCTCCGCCTCCCCGGTTCAAGCGGTGCTCCTCTACCTCCGCCTCCCCGGTTCAGGCGGTGCTCCTCTACCTCTGCCTCCCCGGTTCAGGCGGTGCTCCTCTACCTCCGCCTCCCCGGTTCAGGTGGTGCTCTACCTCAGCCTCCCGAGTAACTGGTATTATAGGCACCCACCACGACTAGCTTTTATGTTTTAGTAGAGATGGGATTTCACCATCTTGGCCAGACTGGTCTTGAACTCCTGATCTCTTGATCCATCCGCCTTGGCCTCCCAAAGTGCTGGGATTACAGGCATGAGCCGCTGTGCCCAGCAGTTTTTTTTTTTAGACAGGATCTTGCTCTGTTGCTAGACTGGAGTGCAGTGGCACAGTCATAGCTCACTGGAGCCTCAACCTCCCAGGCTCAGTCGATCTTCCTGCCTCAGCCACCACATCCAGCTAATTTTGATATTTTTAGTAGAGATGGGGTTTCATCATGGTGCCCAGGCTGATCTTGAACTCCTGGGCTCAAGAGATCCACCTGCTTCAGCCTCCCAAAGTGCTGGGACTACAAGGTGAGCCGCTGTGCCGGCCTTACCTGTTTTATGGCATCTGCCCCATTCTGCCTTTCCTTCCAGCCCTGCAGAGAGTGAACTGGGGGAGGGAGTGAAGGCAGGTGCTCCCTGAGCAGCTGGAGGAGTCACGTTTGGGGGCCCAAGTTCAGGGAAGTAGGTTGAGCGATGGTTAGGCCATAGAAAGGACTGGATTTGGCCGGCGTCTGGATGTTGGGGGTTGAGGGTTGGGGTGTGTTCATGAGAACCCCAGCAGAGAGTGAGGGTGGGGAGAAGAGGGGATGAGACGCTCTCATTTTTGGTAGCTGGAGACCCCAAATGAAGATGTCCAGTAGACCTTTAAGTGGGTGGGGGTTCAACTACCCTGCCGACAGCTGTGGGAATTTGGGGTCACTGGCACGTGATGCTCTCTTCTCTGAATCTTGTTTTTGGAGACAAGTCTTGCTCTATTGCCCAGGCTGGTGTGCAGTGGCACCATCTCAGCTCACTGCAACCTCCGCCTCCTGGGTTCAAGCAATTCTGCCTCAGTCTCCTGCGTAGCTGGGACTACAGGCGCCCGCCACCATGCTTGGCTAATTTTTGTATTTTTAGTAGAGATAGGGTTTCACCATGTTGGCCAGACTGGTTTCAAACTCCTGACTTCAAGTGATCTGCCCACCTCGGCCTCCCAAAGAAGTGCTGGGATTACTGGCGTGAGCCATCACACCAGGTCTGAATCTTGGCCCTGGGAATTCCCGTCACCTTGGCCTCCCCAGATTCTCAACTCAAGGAGACCACGGGGCTCCCCTGGGCAGCTGGAGCAGTGTCCAGGCGATTAGTCGGGCATTGTGGGGTGCACCTGCCAGGTTTCCCTTCTCTGAGAGATGAGATGATGGGCCTCCCTTATCTGTTGTCTGGGGTCTGGGAGTCATGTGTTCAGCCTCTTATTCTCATAGAAGGTGGGAGGAAATCCAATTTCTGTTCCCCTGTCCTGGCGGGAAGCAAGGGTCCCATGAAGGACTCAGGGACAGCAGCTGAAGCCAGGGAGAAAATGAAATCTCCCAGGGCAAGTTGGAGAACAAGGAGTGGGGGGGTCAGGATGGCTCAGGGAGCACCACCACTTACAGGACACACGCAGATGAAGTGGCCACAAAGGGAGGCTGTGGGTGACTGCATCCCAGCAAGAGCAGAATGCGTGGCGGTGGAGAATCTGTAGTAGCAATTAGGGATCCCTTGGGTGACAGGGTCTCCTGGGTGGGGGCGAGTGGTGCCACGGGAGCACAGATAGTGCCAAGGTACCCAGGAGGTAGGATGAGGAGCAGGGATGTTCTGCAGAGGGGCCAGGGCTCCTCTCCAGCACTAACAGGGCCTCTGTGCCTCTCTACCTGCTTGGCTGTCCTGTGGACTGTGTGGTCCCCTGGGGATTGCCCAGCACCCAGTGCAGCAGGGGAGCGGGGGTGGTGGATGCTGAGAGTCACAGAGCAGGGCAGGCATTGACAGTGTTGCTTGTCTGCGGTGAGGCGGTTGGATGGAGACCGATACCTCTGGAATCCCGCACTCCTCCCTGGCCTGGTGTGCAGCAGTTCGTAGCAGTGACCAGCCTGTGGTGGGCCAGGGAGGAGACCAGGGACAGGAGTGGTTTGGCACTGCAGCAGCCCAGCTCCCTTCCCTGTGCAGGGTGTCGGGCTCTCGGTAATGAGTGAAAGCTGCCAGCATTCCAGCCCCAGCCCCCTGCTTCCCCTGGTGTCTCTAGGTCCTCTCACCATTGCCTCTTCAGATCACCTCGGGGTGGCATTCATCCCGCCAGCCTGCTCCAGGGACCCCTGTGTAGCGGGAACTGGTGGACACACCCTTCTGGGCCCTCCCGCAGCTTCCAGCACAGGAACTGCTCCGTCCTCCACACACCTGCTTTGCTTTGCCCTCCGGGTGGCCGGTTTTGGTTTTCTTCACTTCTGTTTCTCCTTAAATCTCCTCTGCCCAGGCCTCTTCTCTTCTCACCTCAGCATGGAAGGTCCTCCTGTTTGCCCGCTTCTCTTTTCTAGTGATCTGCACTCCCTGGAAGAGGTAGTCTGATGGGTTTTTTTTTGAGACTGGGTCTCACCCTGTCGCCCAGGCTGGAGTACAGTGGCGCAGTCTCGGCTCTCTGCAACCTCTGCCTCCGGGTTCTAGTGATTCTCCTGCCTCAGCCTCCGGAGTAGCTGGGATTACTGGCGACCACCACCACTCCTGGCTAATTTTATTTTGTATCTTTAGTAGAGACGGGGTTTTACCATATTGGCCAGGCTGGCCTTGAACTCCTGACCTTGTGATCTGCCTGCCTCGGCCTCCCAAACTGTTGGGATTCAAGGTGTGAGCCACCGTGCCTGGCCTGTTTTGTTTTTAAAAACCAGCATGTTTGGCTGGGCGTGGTGGCTCATGCCTACAGTCCCAGCACTTTGGGAGGCAGAGGTGGGAGGATGGCTATGTAGTCAGGGGTTCAAGGTCAGCATAATCAGCATAGCAAGATGCCATCTCTACAAAATACAAGGGGAAAAAAATTAGCTGGGCATGGTGGTACGTGTCTGTAGTTCCAGTTACTTGGGAGGCTGAGGTGGGAGGATTGCTTGAGCCCAGGAGTTTCAGGCTGCAGTGAGCTGAGATTGCACCACTGCACTCCAGCCTGGGTGACAGAGTGTGACCCTGTCTAATAAACAAAAAACAGTTCAGGTGTGGTGGCTCATTCCTGTAATCCCAGCATTTTAGGAGGCTGAGGCGAAGGATCGCTTGAGGTCAAGAGTTTGAGACCAACCTGAGCAACATAATGAAACCCCATCGCTACAAAAAATGAAATTCACAGGGCATGGCAGGTGTGCTGGTGGTCCTAGCTACTCGGGAGGCTGAGGTGGGGGCAACAGTGAGAGACCCTCTCTCAAGCAACAAACGAATAAATAAAAAACACCCAAACCATCAGTTTTTTTTGGTGATACCCACGTTGACTGCCCAGCCCTCTCCCCACAGCCTGACTTCTATCCAGTGACTTCCTCTTGGGTGCCTGAGAGGCAGCGCCAGTCCTCTGTGCTCCATGCTGGGCTTCCCATCCCCTCTCTGGCAGAGGAAGAATCTTATTTATTTATTTATTTTTGAGATGGAGTTTTGCTGTTGTCACCCAGGCTGGAATGCAATGGCAAGATTTCTGCTCACTGTAACCTCTTGTCTCCTGGGTTCAAGTGAGTCTCCAGCCTCAGCCTCCCAAGTAGCTGGGATTACAGGCATGTGCCGCTATACCTGGCTAATTGTGTATTTTTAGTAGGGATAGGGATTCACCATGCTGGCCAGGCTGGTCTCGAACTCCTGACCAAGGCAGTGCCTTGGCCTCCCAAAATGCTGGATTCCTGCACCTTTGGAAGAGTCTTTATGATCTTATAAGGAGCCCTGCAGGTCTGCCCCCTCCCGTGACCTCTAAAGTGCCCTGATGTGCCCCTTTCTGCTGACTCTGGGGCTGGGGGCTGTGTTCTTCCTTAGGACTGTGGGCTGCAGCTGAGTGGGGAGGAAGGACGCCGCTGCTATCCCCTGGCGGGCCACCTGCTGTGTCGTCGCTGCCACCTTCAGCGCCTCCAGCCTGGGCCTCTTCCCTCACCGACCGTGCACGTCACTGAGCTCTGAGCAGGGGAATACCCATCTCTGGACTGGGGTGGGGGTGGGTGTGGGTGTGGGTGTGGAGGGAGGGCCGCGTGGGTGGCCCCGGTCAGTGTCAGGGTGGGCTTCCCCCAATCCCACCTTCCCACTGAGCTGCTGTCTGCAGGGGCCGGACCCCCGCATGGAAGCTTCTATTTATTCACGGTCTGTGCCTGCTCAAGTCAACTTCCCTGCGGGCCCTGCCTCCCACACACCCCACCACCAGCTTTCCACTTGGGGGCCCCCTTGCATCCTGCAGCTTCAGGGTAGGCTATGGATCACGAGGATGGAGAGGGCCCCCGTCCTGGCCACGGGTGCGAGGTGACCCGGGTGCATTCCTGGGTAGGAGCTGCTGTCCGTTGTTTAGGGGCCTGGGACTCCCCCAACACAAGTGTGCTCCCAGGCAGTGTGTGGTCTGGAAGTTGGGGCTGGCGGGGACATGCATGTTCCTGCATCTCCTATCGCAGTGCCTGGGTGGGTGGGAAGGCGCCTGGTTTAGGTGGAGTCCCAGCAGGGGGGTGAGGAATGACACCTGTGGGGAAGGGGCCTGCAAAGGGCACTGGCCACATGGTCACTGTGGGAATTGGCCCTGGGAACTCTGATGGGTGTTTGCAGCCCCAGTCGCTGCCCTGTTCCCCCTTCCAGGGCTCCTGGCTTGGGACTCCCCTACCCTCCTGCTCAGCCCAGAAAAAGCCCGCAGGGGCTGCAGCCCCAGGTCTCGCTCAGGAGCGCCTCGAAGGGGCACCCTGGCCACACTGCGGGAAAGCCCGTGTCTGAGCACCGGCTATGGGCTCCACTACAAAAGGACAGGATTTGACTTAAATTAAGTTTTCCCCTTGAGGATATTTTCATTTTCTTTAAAAGAATATAATTTTCTAAGATCTTGGACCAGTTTTGTTATTTCTTAAGCAAATTCACGTGTCTAATTTGTCATGGAGCTGGTTTTCAGGTGTTAAGAACCTTGTGGTTTCAGGACTTTTGTATAAACTCCTCTAAAACCTCATGTGTCCGCCTGTCAGACTTTAGGGTAGCTTGGGGCTCCATGTGTGTTGGGGTGTTAAGGGCAGTTGCCCCATGAAATGCAGTGGGGGGGGCTTTCCATGCACCCCGGGACTGATGGGAACGTGGGGTCTGCACGTGGGGGGCCCTGGTCCTGATGTCGGCATCCCTGCGGGTTCAGGGGACATCTGGACTGAAATCACTGGCCCCTAGGAGAACCTGGGCCTGCCTCTTGGCTGCTGTTCCCCTCTCCCTCCCCCACTGTCAGGTGTGAGCTCTGTGACTCACCCGAGGGGTCGGGCGTCCCCTGGAACCAGCTGGGCTGTACAGGCCAAGCCCAAGGGAATACCAGGAGGTGCCTGCAGGGGAAATGGTAGCCACGGAGTCCAGCAGGCCGAGGCCTGGCTCGGGCGCCCCCTCGTCGCCTGAATCGACAAGTACAAGGGAAGGTCAGGGAGTCTTAACCAAGGACTTCCACAGCCTGGAGAGCACTGAGATGGGGAGTGGGGCCTTCAGCAGGACCAGGGGGGGCACTTCTTGGAGGAAGCGATGCCAGTTGGGCCAGAGAGTAAAGTCCAGCCATGGAGGCTCCGGTGCTGGCTCTCTCTTCCCTGCGAGCTGAGCTGCGTTGCTTTTTTTTTTTGATCCTACCTTGTTCTTAGCCCTAAAGGTGTGAACGGTGATTTTTTGCTATTTTTTTTTTCGAGGACAGGGCCTTGTTCTGTTGCCCAGGCTGGAGTGCTTTGGCGCGATCTGGGCTCACTGCAACTT